GGCCGCGAGCCTCTCCTAGCCACGCCCTCATCGCATGCTAGCTCGATGACGTTCACGCGTTCATAACTTTGTCGTTCACTGTACGAAGCCATCGGTAGAGATCATCGCGATGCTTGACCACGAGCGTCCTTGTCGCGCGCAGTCCGCACGGCTTCCCTTAGAGGCCACACCGATTGACCGACGTCGGATTGAAATGTAATCGTTCTGTTCGCAGTTCCTCAACATGGCATCTGTGTTTATGCGGATATTCAATTTGATCTGCATGATGCTGCTAATCGGCCACTGGTCAGGGTGTCTGCAATTCCTGGTTCCGATGCTACAGGGCTTCCCTCCGAATTCATGGGTCGCTATAAACGAACTTCAGGTATGTTAAAAATCTTCTTTAAGAATAACGATTCAACTTATTATACGCCTATTTACCAACCTACAAATAAAAGGCTACAAAAACACAAAAAAGGCCTTGCATAAATGGGTATAATTGGATAGTATGAGTAAAACAGAGTGCTTCTTTTTAATTCCTGCATTCATTCACACCAATATGTTGTCCTTGATAGCGTTAAACTGTTCCGGTGTTACACATAGGTGTAATATACTTAAGATGTAATTAAACGAAATCTTTGTAGGAAAAACTAATTGGTCTTTTAGGTTGTAAAACTTGTTTGCTTAAAACTTTTTGTTGGTGATTACAGGAAGCTTTTTGGCTAGAACAATATTCGTGGGCACTGTTCAAAGCGATGTCGCACATGCTGTGCATTGGATACGGCCGGTTCCCGCCGCAGTCGCTCACGGATATGTGGCTCACGATGCTCTCCATGATATCAGGCGCTACCTGCTATGCCCTCTTCCTCGGTCACGCCACCAACCTCATCCAGAGTCTTGACTCGTCTAGAAGGCAGTACCGAGAAAAGGTAAACAGATTACGTTATACGATTAGGCTATTACAATATCTAAAGAGACCGATAGTTTGTCAGACCGTAAGCTGTTATGAACATCTTATCATCATTCAATACAGAAGCATCTAAAGTAACGTGTGATGCATTTCGATCCCTTCATTACGTGAATTTAATAATCTAATACCTTTGCGCATGTGTGGTTCACTTTAAGTCGTCTACGAATAACAACTAATTACTAGTCATTGCCTGTTTCAGAGACTAGACGTGAGTACAGATTGGATGATTGTTAAATGGTTTCCGTTGTAAGAGATATCAGAATCATTATTCATCACTTGGTTAAACTCTCTACGCACATTAACTTTTCGGAGGCGATTAATATTCATCTTCATATAACATTTTCATAGAAATAACGGGTGTTCATAACAGTTTGCTTCTGATTACTGCTTTTTGTCATCTTCTATTGTGTATATTCTTTATAAAGTATGTTGCAAATATTATAATGTACTGTATAAGTTAAGATAGCTAGACTCACCATTACATGTTATAAAGCACCGTTTGGTTTTGTTGTGAAGCAAAGTGTGTGCGTGAGTACCTAAGTTCGTGTGTAGCTCTATTCTAACGAACACAGTATTTAGCCTAGCTCTTACAAATGTAAATAAGCTTTCAACTTGAATATTTATAAATATAATATTTTAGGTAAAACAAGTAGAAGAATATATGGCCTATAGAAAACTGCCTCGGGAAATGAGACAGCGTATAACCGAGTACTTCGAACATCGCTACCAAGGCAAATTTTTCGACGAGGAGCTGATTTTGGGCGAGCTGAGCGAGAAATTACGAGAGGACGTCATCAACTACAACTGCCGTTCGCTTGTAGCCTCCGTGCCATTCTTTGCCAACGCTGACTCCAACTTCGTATCGGACGTCGTCACCAAACTCCGTTACGAAGTCTTCCAACCTGGTAAGAATATCATGTTTTGCAATATCTTCATACATTTAACTAGTGGTTGCCCATTATTATAAATTCTACCATAATACATAGTTAAAGATTTTTTACTAAAAATATGCAGTTCCATCCACTTAGTATTAACCTTGTATAAATTGTTTTAGGCGATATCATCATAAAAGAAGGAACCATCGGCAACAAAATGTACTTCATCCAGGAGGGTATCGTAGACATCGTAATGGCAAACGGAGAGGTAGCAACCAGCCTGTCCGATGGCTCCTACTTCGGCGAGATCTGTCTCCTGACGAACGCTCGTCGAGTCGCCTCC